TATCCACAAAAAACCATGCAAATCTAAACAATAGCGATAACAAAAAAAATAATTCATTATATTCTTAATTATTATGAAATAAATTATGTGTTTTGATAAGCTTTGAAGAACGTAAAAATGATAATAACTTTTCCCACAAAATGAAAATAATGTGTAATTTTCTGGAGGAGCATAGAAAAATTATCAGAACGATCATGAGAATAATTGGCATAAATTTACATATATATTAAATAAAAAGGAACAATCAGTTTTTGACCTCTCTGTGAATACATGTACATGTTTGCAATCATCTTACATGTATCATAAAAAGGCAACTCTTGCATATATAACTTACATTTGTAACACATGGATTTATAAGTAGAGACAACGAGCGCGTGTTACTGTGATTTTAGTTATCGTCATAGAAATTTTTCCCAAGAATCTTTCTCCGTCCAATCATATCACAACGCACTTAGACCAATATGAAAGTATTTAAAAATCACCTTTCTTATCATTACTTCTTAAATTTCTTATTATACAAACTATAACTTTATTTCAAGACCGTCAAAAACAATGATGCTTGCTGACTTCACGAAATTTAATTCTGCAAAATATAACACTTTACCCGAGGTCGATGTTGCCTCCAGCATATTATTACAGTGTTTCAACTTCACTGATTTCCTAGAAAAAATCTATCCCTTCACCAAAGAACACTCCATTGAACTTGGAGTTCGATTAATTCATCGTCATATGAGAGTGAATGAAGGAAGGGTGATGATTGAGAAGTTCCAGTTCCATTAAGGTGCCCCAGCTTTCATCACCTCAGCTGATTTCCTAAATGAACAAGTTTATCCTGCGAGTTGGTTACTTGAGGAAGCTAACAAATTGTCAGTATTTGAATATTCGACGGATGTTCAGGTGAAACGTACTCTCGAAAAACCTATCAAGAATCCAAGTATTTTCTTGAAGTTTTGTGAAATGATCAAGGAGTATCACCTTGAGAATTCACTTGCATGCACCTTGTATCACAGCACGGGATTCATTGAAACATTTTGAGAAAAAGACAGAAGACAGGATTTCTGGAGACAAATGATTTGAAATCCGATGCTAATATTTTGAAAAATAGTAAAGATCAGGCAGTGTATTGCCATGAGAGTGCTTCAATTTTTGTGGGCATATCCAGTGAGCGATCATTGTCTTAGTGGTGGTGACAATATCATTTCTTTGAAGTATTACGTATATTCGTGTATTGAATGCTGTGTTATTATTTTTGTGTCAAATATTGTATTTCTTCATGTACCGCAAAAAGTATATTTTATTGACATTATAATCATCGTGTACAAACAAAAGTATTTTCTGCATATAAACTATGAATGAATATCATTCCCTGTGGTTCTCGTAGCATAAATTTTTCGTGTATCAATGCTTTCAAATTTTCATAAAATAAAATGCTTTAATTACATACCACAAACATCTTTACGTATAGAGCTGAACTATCCAACAAATCGACGTTCTAATAAAAAAATGCTGCATTTGTAATCGGTCTGGATCAATTTTTGAAAAATTTGACCGCATCAGGGAATTAAATTTACTTTTACTTTAGAAAA